ATAATACAACACCGTGTCTGAAAGAAAAAAAAGTCTTTATATCATGGGTTTTTAAGAAGCAGGCATACGTTCACATATATGCTGGCAGTATTTACCTTAGTTTATGTTGCAGTGCCAAGTCACAGACAAGGTCCTCACCGTAGCAGTGCACAGTCATAAGATGCCTCAGTGTGATATGTGTTACATTGAAGATGTATCAACTGCCAAGACAGTAAGTTCAGCCTGTGTATTTGACACGTAGAGAAACGGAAATGTGTCGGGTTTATCTCCTAAATAATCAGCACAGTTTTTCACTTTGAACATTTATATGAACGTCAATGGAAGAGATTTGCAACTTCCCCTACGTCTCTGTGAAGTGCCGCTGTCCCTCACCTGGGTGCCCCCGTCCCACCTGCCGCCCCGGCTCTGCGGTCGCTGTGGCTGGGAGGGAGGAAGCAGTGCTGCCTCCCCTGCTCCAAGGAATTTCAGTGAAGATGTCTGTGGGGGATGGCCCAATGCTGCCAAGAGCTGGTGACAGCAAAGGGTGCTATGTTAGCTTTAATGTTTTTCCTTGGAACGTGCCTTCCCCCTGCGCCCACGCACACAGAGACAGAAATACCCAAGAGAACTGATCATAGAATTATTTAGATTGGAAAAGACCTTTAATGTCATTGAGTCCAACCTCAAACCTAACACTGCCAAGTCCGTATCACCCTCCCTTCTCTGATGCACCCTGCAGGATACTCTTGCAGACTAACACTGAATTAAAGCCCTGAAGAGCAGGATGTTAAAATATCAAGTAGTTCTCCCAGAGCAAGAATACATGAAACTAAAAATAACTACTGCTCTTAACTCCACAATGTTTTTAGATCCTGTGTCTGAAGGGGAGGGAATGATACAACACTATTGTCTCCAAACCATCGAACAGGTACACTCAAGCAGAGAAGACTGAAGAGATACTCCAACAGAGGACCCTGAGGACGAACTATTTACAGATAGCAGCAGCTACATGCATGAAGGAAAACAAAGAGCTGGCTGCACAGTGGTAACTCAGACTGAGGTTGTGGAAGCTCAACCTTTACCCATTAACACCTCAGCCCAAAAAGCAGAACTGATAGCATTACAACAGGCATTAAAACTATCAAAATGAAAAAAGGTTAATATCTGGATGGACTCCAAATATGCATTTGGGGTAGTACATGCCCATGGAGCCATATGGAAAGAATAAGGATTGCTATCAGCTCAGGGATTGCCAATCAAATATGGAGACACCATCAAACAATTACTAGAAAGTCCAGTTACCAAGAGAAGTAGCTATTATACATTTCAAAGCCCATCAGTTTGGTCATACCTCTGTCAATACAGGAAATTGATTAGCAGATAAAATGGCAAAGGAGGTGTCAGAGAAAAGCATCCTAGTTGTTGTACTGTCCAAAGAGGTAAACCTACCAAAAGGGGCACCTGAATATCAGAGCCAGGATAATCAATTAGCTGATATATTAAAAGCTCATTGAAATTCCGAGGGATGGTGGGTGACTATAGATAGGCAAGTCATAGTACCACAGGCTGTAATGAAACAGTTAGCTGAAGATAAACACAATGCAACACATTGAGGGGCAGAGGCTATTATAGATAGCTTGAGAAGCCAAGTGCTCATGACAGGAGCAGTTAAAAGTGTGGTCAGTAAATGTAAAATCTGTTTACAGAATGACCCACATTCATACAAGAAACCCCCCTTTACGAAACAAAAAAAGAAAATGAAATTGCCCTGGAGAACATTGGCAAATGGATTTTTCAGAACTACCTTGACAAGAGGGACATCAGTATCTGCTAGTGTTGGTTGATACCTTTTCAGGATGGCCTGAAGCCTTTCCCTGTCGTACTGACAAAGCTAGGGAAGTAGCAAAAGCCCTATTAGAAAAAACAGTGCACAGTTTCGGGGTTCCATTGGGAATGTTAGGTGGACAATTAATGACATGTTAGGTGGAATGACTCCCTCATGTCCCCAGCCAAATAAAGTAATGCCTGCTCATTAATGCTAAACCCAGCATTAAGGAGTTTTCATTCCTGAATTTGGTGACACCTGCACTGGCTGGCGCAGACACAGCAGCACAAAGCACCCTTGGAGCCACCGCTGCTTGGTGTGACCCACGGCCCGGGTGGCTTCACAAGCCTTCCTGAGGTCAGGCTTTGTCCCCAGCTAGAGCCACCAAAGGGCACCTCTGCTCGCAGCTCACCGAGCTCCACCCCAGGCTCTTCCTTTGGGAGAAGCGCTGGCCAGAGGAGACGAGGTGCCAACGGGCATCAGTGATGGCAGTGGCACAAGCTGCTGGCACCTCATGCGCAGGGGAGAGACGAGGCTGAACGCCCCTGTCAGGAGACCTTGGCTCTGCCCTGCGCGGCACTGGGAAGCCCTGTTGGAGGGGAGCCCAGGATCAAGGCAAATTGGCCACCAGCCCTGGCTGGAAGGAAGCCAGTGTCTCCCCCCTTCCAAAGAGCAGTGTCAAAGGGAGAGGAGGAGGAGGAGCAAGAGGAGGAGGTAGGTTCCCATGAGGGGCAGAGGGGGCTGTGGCTGTCTCTGGGTAGCCCCTCTGCGTGCAGGACAGTGCCCGGGCACTGGTGCCGCTCTTGCTGGAAGCGTGCCCCAGAGCTGGACGGGATGTGCCACGCTCACCTGCACACTCCTCAGCCTTGCAGGCACACTGACGGTGTTACAGTGGAGGGAAAATGTGAGTAACAGCATAAGATAAACGTAAGCTGTTTCTTCCGGACAGAGCCTCAGTGGAAAACTTCCTACAGGCACTGCAGAACCAACCCTCCTGGTTACAGCAGGGTCCTGGTCTGCAGCATGGCAGTACACATGCCCCTGGGGATCCTTTTGCCTCTGGTCAGGAGCTGGAAAATGCCTTTCTTAACCCATAACGACAAACTTGGCACCTTCAGAAGCCAAGGGGTGCTCGGCCTCAGTGGTGCAGAGAGGGCTGCTGCTGGGTGCAAACGCAGCCGCCAACTTCAGCTCTGCCTCTCAGGGCCCACCAGCAGCACCTTTCCTGCAGCCACGTCAAGGCCATTTGCTAATCTGCCTGACACACGTCAGGTCATCGCCTCGCTCGTGCGCTCTGGTGTGCCCACACCTCTGCGCAGCAGGAGCCACGGCCGTGCCTCCGTCACGCACGAGTGCGTGTGTGTGGTGTGCCAGGGTCTCCCTGTTTGTAACTGGGGTGAGGATGGTCCATGGTGCTGGGCAGCCACGGCGACCTGCAGATCTCTGTAAAGCTCCGTGGCATCTTCCCGTGGAAGATGTCCTCATGGCACAATGCATGCAGGGCAGGTGGTCCACCTCGCTGGTGACAGCCAGAGAGATTGAATCGGTGTCACCCCAGGGCACTGGAAATGAGCTGGGGGCAGGGGGAGGGTGGCTCTCTCCCACAGTGGCAGTGCCTCGAAGCAGTGTTTGGCTCTGCAGAGAGGTTTGCGTTCTTCAGCAGGGTCAGTCACACGTTGCCTTTCAGTGCCTGTCTCTCAGCAGCTGGGAAATCTGGGGCTGTAATGAGACCACAGCGTAAGGCATGAGGGCAGAAGGGACCATGGGTTCAGAGTCATCCTACGCCTAAAGCCAACAGCACCTGGGCACCCCAGCTGCAGCCACACCCGAGCAGGGAACACTCCAGACCCGGATCATGCAGGTTAATTTTGCCTCCCCACCCTTTTAATGAAGAATAAATGTGTTTCCAGCTTGGTGGCTGGAAAGCCACCACAGCTGAGTTGTCTCCTCGTATGTCTCCAAGACAATGACATGAAGGGTTGGGGCTCCCTCTGTTGGGTTTTCCTGCAGAATTGAGGCATGGAAATCAACGCTGCGGGTGGGCACCTGGCAGCCAGCCATGGGTCAACCCACCACAGTCCTTTGTGGGGCTCAACATGGGGAAGGAGGAATTTGGGATAAGGGTAGTAATTGGGACAGGTGACCGGCAAAGCGCTGCTAGAGAGCGGAAAGCATTGTTGTGGGGAAATTTTGTTGTTGTAACTGTGATGAAGGGGCGAAGCGTGGAGTGTGTGTAAGTCGTCCACTTTTGTCAGCGTTGTGAGGACGTTACTTTGATTTTGGTGTCAGGAATTCTTTAGTGGATGTAAGCGAAGTTTGTGAAGACTGTATGATTAGTGTGTGTTTTAATGATAGTTCTTAAAATGCGTGAGGTGAGGGGTGGAATGCATTGGGTTTACTTGACAAGGATTTGGTAGCTGGGGGGGGGGGGATTTCAGGGGTGGCTTCTGTGGGAAGATGCCAGGAGCTGCCCCCGTGTTGGAAGTCATCGGGTCCCACCAGCTCCAAGGTGGACACGCTGCTGGCCAAAGGCGCCAGCAACATCGGTAGTGCCTCTGTGAGAACGTATATAAGAAAGGGTAAAAAATGCTGCGCAGCAGCAGCTGTGAGAGAGAGGAGTGTGTGAGAGACCCAGCCCCGCAGACCCCGGGTCGGTGAAGGAGAAGGGGCAGGAGCTCCGGGCGCCAGAGCAGCGATTCCCCTGCAGCCTGTGGGGAAGGCCGCGGTGACACGGGAGGTCGGCGGCGGAGCAAGATGCGAGCTAAGGGAAGAAACAGCAGGAGGGATGGGGGCGAGCTGATCCGTGAGTTAACAGGGAGGCTGCCAACGACGTGGAAGGCAGTCGCTGCCCCGAGGCGGGAAGCGCATAACGGGAGCGGAGCCTGAGTGTCCCTTTTGCCACCCTGCGCGTTACATTTTCCCAGAGAAGTCCGACGGAGCCCGCGGGGGCTCGGTTGCTGGACACTGAGCAGCCGGGAGATGCGACAAAACCGCGGCCGCGGTGGTGGGGGGAAAGGCGGCCGCCCGCTCCCGGGATCGGGCCCGGCGGGGCGGGGCGCGGCAGGCGAAGGGTTAAAGGGAAGCGCAGGCGCCCTGGGGGGTGGGCGGGGGAGAGCACCGCCCCCCCCCCCCCCCCGTCCGCGTGGGCCCCGGGCTGGCTGCGCGGATTGGCCAGCAGGGGGTGGGGGGGCGGAGCGTCGCGTACGTCACGCCGGCCCCGCTGCGCTCACTGGCTGCGCTGCGGGGATGCCGGGGCGAGAGGCTGAGGTAACGCGGCGCGCGCGGGGTCGGTTACCGGCTGCTGCCCCCCCCCCCCCCCCCGGGCCCGCCTCGCTCGCTCGGCTGAGGGGCAGCGCGGCGGCAGCAGCGACCGGGGGCTCGCCGCGCTCCCTCCCCGCTTCCCTCGCGTTCTGCCGCCTGCCTGGCTCTTGGGAGGCGGGCCCGGGCGGGACGCGCGGGCCCTGCACCGTAACGCTGGGCCCGGGGGGGGGGGGGGTGGTGTTGGGGGTGCGGCCGGAGGCTCGTAACGGGTTTTCAGGGGGGTCCGAAAGCGTGCGGGGGGAGGCAGCTGGGCGCTGCTGGCTGCGGAAGGGGCGTTGGTGGCTTTTGAGTGGGTCCCTCCAGAAACCACCGTGCTGCAAACATCTGAGCGGCGTAGAAACTCGTTCTTCATTAGCAAAACGCCATTACGCCTTTGGTTTTTTTTTTTGGTTTGTGTTTTTTTTTTTGTTTGTTTGGTTGGTTGGTTGGTTTTAAATAAAAAAAAATCGCCCTGCTGTGTCGTTTTGTGCTTCCTGCCTTCTCCCTCCGAGAAGTGCGGAGAGGCAGCAGCCCAGGCCCCAGCTGAGCAGGCCGTGCAGTGCTTTGGGTGCCTTGGCGCTGGGTTGGGGTGGTGGGTGGTTTTGAGGGAGAGCCCCACTGGTGCCCGTGGCAGTGAGGGACCTTGGTGTGCAAGAGGGGGGAAGGGTTGGTGGTGCTGCTGGCAGGGTGCTGGGCAGAGCTAGGTGGTATTGGCACCTGGTGGAGCGGTGTGAAGGGGGCACCCATTTCCTTTGGTGTGGCAAATGGTTACCACCTAATACTTGCCGATGCATTTGATGTTGAGAAAACTCCAACTACTGAATTGCAAGGAGGTTCTGGAACAATCTTCCAGGAAAGGCAGAGGGACCAAAAACCACAAATAAAATTTGCTCAGGCTCTGAAAGGGTCTGAAAATGTTTCCTATGCCCTGAGCAGCAGTCCTTAGTGTCTGGGGTTGGCTTGTCTTCCTTTCCTATAACATGTGACACATCAGCTGCTCTGTTTCCTCTTGTGCCATTCCTAATTATATGGCTGCTTAATGTCCTCTTCTTCCTCTTCCAGATGCATCCAGTCCTAAAGGCCTTTGTGTGTGGCTCCATCAGTGGGACTTGTTCCACACTTCTCTTCCAACCCCTTGACCTGCTGAAAACCCGCCTGCAAACTCTGCAGCCTGCTGTGAATGGGTGAGAGGGCGGGGATGTGTGGGCACAGGGGTTGTCTGCCATAGGCTTCTGCCCGATTCGTTGGCTGGGGCTTGGAGTTCAGGGTTGTAATTTAGAGAGTCTTTCTGAAATGGGAGGTATGTTCTTATAGTATGGTGAAGGATTGATATTTTGCTCCAGAAGATAGAAATGGCTGCTCCGTGAGTGCTACTTTAATAACATGTAACTTCAGCATTTGTCTGTACTCACCTGAGACGCTGGTGTTTGCTGGAGTGGCTGTTCTGCAGTTTTGTGGGCTGTCTTCTGCTTGAAAAATCCTTTGTGGTTGTCACGTAACTTTATCATGTGTCCAGCTGCTCACGTTTGCTTGGTGTAGCCAACCATGACTACATATGCTGCTGCTAACAAAGGGAGCGAGCAACTAAAACTCTAATGATAGAGGCCTCTAATGTGTGTTACAAGTGGTGGGAAAGCAGAAGGTGGCAGAGGAGCCCCGGAAGGACTGGCCAAGAAAAGCAGGCTGAGTTGAGAAAGAGCACCTTGGAGGTGCTGGGGTGGTACCCAGAGACACAAGTGAAAGGGGATGGCTGCAGTGAGCAGAAGCAGGTCGTCTCTGAAATTCATGTCTTGTCTTGTCTTTCAGGTCTGGTCGTGTTGGGATGGTAAAGCTCCTCTTTAGGGTTGTTCGTACTGAGAGTCTTCTGGGGCTCTGGAAAGGTGTCTCTCCAGTAAGTGGCTGTTTTAACCCTGACTTCTAAAAATAAGTAGATAAATAAACCTACTGCTTATTACTAACTATGACCGCCTGGATTTAAGTAGCGAGCTCTTGGACAATTATGAATGAAAGCAAGTGATTTAGATTAAATCCTATTTTAAGGAGTTAATGTTGTCAATTCCACTGATCTGGTCATGGCACTACCTGTGGTTTTGCAGTCCTGAGCAGCTGAACACTTGAATAGTTTAGCAAATGTGGGATGACAACTGCACCAACTTCATTTTGGTTTGGAATATCTTGTTCCTAGAAAACTGCCACAGCGGAACGTGTTAAATCCTGGCAGCATTTGAATCAATTGGCTCTCAGTGCCATAAATGACTTTTTAACCTTGTCTTCTTTCCTCAGTATGTTAGCTTTAGTGATTTTTTTCTTTTCTACAAAGCTTCCTGTCAAGTTTAACAGTCTCTGAAATGTTCTGTAGCACATTTTGTCTTATGTGTGCTTTTTTTTCCTTCTGAAGTCCTTTGCAAGATGTATTCCCGGTGTTGGGATTTACTTCAGCACTTTGTACACAATGAAGCAAAAGTTTCTAGTGGACCGTTCACCCACAGCCCTGGAGTCTGTCTTTCTGGGTGCCACCGCACGTGCAGTTTCTGGTATCTGCATGTTGCCAGTGACTGTAGTGAAAACCCGATATGAGGTGAGTATGGAATTTTAATTAGTTCCCTATTAATGATGTCACATGCTTTCCTCATGATGAAAAAGAAATTCAATCTGGAGAAGGTTGCTGCCACTTGGGTACAGCCAGACACGTAGTCCTGATTTCATCCTGGTTCACACATTGGGCAGGAAATGCCACGCGCTGATATTTAGGCAAGAAGATGAAACAGAATTCACTCTTGAGATATTTAAGCTGCAGTTGTATACAACATTTGTGTAGCATCTTCCATATTTTACCTTTCTGAAGGATTGTTTTAAAGGCTGAGGTCGATGAAACCCACTTTTTGCGTTGAGCTGTCCTCTGTGCTGCTGTCTCAGGCACCACATTGGCTGTATACCGCTGTTTGTTTGGATGCTGTGGCCTCAGAGAGTCTGTGTGAGGCTCCTTGGCCTGTGCCCAGCCCATGGGTGCCTGACCGTTGTCTACCCTTGCAGAGTGGAAGATTTGGCTACGGGAGTGTGTATGGAGCTCTGAAGAATATCTATCAGACAGAAGGGGCTCGTGGCATGTTCAGTGGGCTCACCGCGACGCTGCTGCGGGATGCACCCTTCTCTGGCATCTACCTGATGTTCTACACACAGACCAAAAGCCTCACGCCTCAGGGTAAGGCTGAATCTTGGAGGCTGTAATGGCAAATGTTTCTCTTCTCACATCTTGCCCTGCAGTTGACTGCTTGTGTGCACTGCTTATTGCCCTCTACCTCAGTAGTTAAATCAGTGTCTTGTAGGGCTTTAGATGAGACATTTCATGTTTTCCTGTGGAGAACTGCAGATCTATAGCCCAGGTCAATGTAGAAATGGAAATTGTCCTTAAATTGGTTGTTTGTCTTTATGAAGACTGATGCATAAGGTGGGTTAGTGAACAGTTGAAAGAGATGCTGTCTTCAGCAGTGCATTCTGCTGCTGGTTGTCTTATATCCTGGTTGGTTTTCACTAAACTGGGGCTTCTCTGATGTTAGAAATGGCTGGGGCAACACTTGCACAATCTGTCCTTTTCAGAGTTACTGTCAAATTCAGTTCCCCATCGAGTGAGGCTTTTTAATAACTTTTGACTAGTAGCCACTTTTCCCCTTGAAAGGTTTCTCTACCCGGCATGGATTTTAACTTCTCTTGGACTCTGAGGTTGACTTAATAATTCAGTAGCTTTTCACTTTGTTGTGCAGCATGAGTGTTCCTGGCCTGTTTTGTGTCTGAGTGCATTCCCTTTGCTTTGTTGCAGACCAGCTGGATCCAGTGCTCATGCCCTTGCTGAATTTTGGCTGTGGGATCTTTGCGGGAGTCCTGGCCTCACTGGCAACGCAGCCTGCTGATGTCATCAAAACACACATGCAGCTGTCCCCCCAAAAGTACCGCAGGACAAGCCAGGCCATTGCCTTCATCTACAAGGTGAGATGGATCCCTTCTAATGTGCCCAATCACAACCTCTCCTTGCCCGAAGCACAGCTATGCTAAGAAAGTTGTTGCCTTTTAAAGGAGGTGAACAAATGTGACTGCTTGATATGCTCGTGCAGTCAGGCTAATTAGTGTCAGCATTTTCAGAAGTTGAAGTGGGTGTTGCTGTGGGAGACTAAGGCTGAATCTCTTGTCACTGGTTTATGTGCAGACCTGTTCAGTAATAACTGGGAAGTATTCTGGTTGATGGTCTGAAAGCAGCTGGAAGCTCCAGTCCATTCCTTGCTTTTCCTTGTAATTAGAGGGGCCGTTGTCACTACTCAGATGCGTTTCTTGCTCCTCTTTAATGGATTACAAGGCAGTGAACTTGCTCCCTGCTTATTCTTGTGATTCCTCAGTCCTCATCTGTTTTCATGAAATTACACATGATGGGGAATTGGAGAGCAGGCTCAGAGTACTGGAGCACAAAGGCGGGCACATTCCAGCAAGCATCTTTCCACACAGACCAGCTTCATGTTTCAGGCTGGTGAATGATTCACTTCTGTTATGTAGTGATGGAAAGCACTAAGTTTATTTCATCTTCATTTCAGTTTAATTTAGTATGTGGGCTTGGAGGAGCTGCGCTTACAGCTGCTGCTGCCTCTGGTTTATTGTGTAGGTGCATCCGTGATTACCACACTGAGACAAAAGGTTTCTTTAGTATGTAGCGTGAAATGCTGGTTTCAGATAGAAACCAGGTCCAAAACAATCCTTTGCCCTTTAGACACCAAAGGATAAATAAATGCCCAGATTTGTATTCCAGGAATGGGATGGAGATGTACTCAGAGCCCACCTTTCTTTTCCTGCCCTCAGAAGGGCAAATCTTGTCATGTTTGCTTTGCCTCCATACTGAACTCTATTCCTAAACAGGAATCTGCTTTTTTTGTGCATGGCTTTTTTGTGCATGGCACATTTTTCTCATATCAGAATTTTTTTTTTTACTTCAGTACTTAAAATCTCAGTTTTTACAACAGTCACTTAGCTATTTTGTAAATATGAAGCTCTAGAACAAGTCATTTTCCTCAAGTGTCTTGAAACTATTATACTCTCACCTTTTGTCGGGTTTGAGTGTGGCTTTTGCTGTCCTGGCATTCCCTTTTCCACTCACTGTGCTTCCTGCTTTCTTGGGTAGCCCTGCAGTTGCAAAGTGGTACAGGTTCTTCCAAAACATTAAATGCTGCTTAAGCCTGAGTTTTCAGAAACTGATTTGGGTCTGAGCTGAAATACATCCTGTGCTGTTCCATGTAATAAATGATGGGAAGTTAAAACACTAGAGGCAGATTATGATGGATTGCTGCTTGTTTGTCTCCTCTTGCAGGACTTTGGGTTGGTTGGCTTTTTCAGAGGTGGTGTGCCACGTGCCCTCAGGCGGACTCTGATGGCAGCAATGGCATGGACAGTGTATGAACAGATGATGGAAAAAATGGGCTTGAAATCTTGACTGACTTGCACAAGAAACAACCAACATCACTCCTCCTCCTGCTTGCTGTGATCAACCGGCACTAGGAAGTTCCCAGGTCCACAGAGGAATAAGCCTTGCTCAGCCAGGAGGAAAAAACCCCTTCTGAGACAGGGGATTAGGCCTTTTGGCAAGTAGAGGAAAGAAGGATCTGATCTTTGCATCATTTGATGAATGCATTCCAGAAGGACTGTGCTTGCAGACTGCCATGGGAAATGGCAGGGCTTCCGCAGCCTTGTAACTATGCTGAGGAAAAAGCCCCTTTTAAATATAGCTCTGTGCTCACCACCTTTATGCAATGAGACATTGCTGAGCAAAAGTGTTTGAGGAGAAAACAGTGATTGCGGAACCTGCCAGCCTGTTCCTTGCTGATCTAGCCAGTAGGGCCACAGTGACCCACCGCTGATAGAGATTCTCCTTCCTCTTACGCTTTGTTCTCACAGGGGAATGTTGCAGATCACGGTGGGAGACTGGATGTGTCTCTTCATGCTTATATTGTAGGAGCGGGTGGAAGAGAAATTAAGTGCTGAAGGAAAGCTGGGAACATGGTCTCTGTCATCTCTTTGTACTGTGCGTGATAGCAGAGAAGGTGACTGGAGCCTCCTTGCCGTGTCATGTGTTAACGTGTAATTGAGCATCTTAACACTCTGGAGATGTGCTTCTGCCTCTGGAGCAGTATTTGCACAGGAATTAAGAAGCATAAGGCACTTTAGAGTTGATTGCTACCAAAGTTCTACTTGTTCTCTGAAAAATGTTTTTCCTGCTGGTCTGACTTTATCAGGAATACTCAAGTATTATTATTATATTTTTTTTTAAATCCAGTTGTACTAGAGATTTAAGTGCTTCCTATTATAAATTTGTTAATCCCTGGTCAACACCCTCAGTGCAAGCTGGTGCTTAGATGTAGCTTTTAGGGTCATAGCTCATAATGCATAAATGTATAATGGAAGCAGATGTAGATACTGACACTTCAGATTTCCCTTAAAAGGCACTACTGATTGCATGTGGAGTATCTTTGGGTTTGGGAAAAAAAAATGCTGCTCTGTTCTATAAGCTTTCTGCAAAGTTTGAGACATATGAGTGCTTAGTAGGGAACTTTTATTTCTCTTTGGGCTCCGCACAGATCCTTCACAGTTTCCCAGCTGGTCATTTTCTCTTAGCAGGTAGTCCATGTTTTAGTATCTAGAGTTTAGGCCTACAGATAAATATAGTTTTTTCATCCACTGTGCCTTCTTCCTCATTCCTACTTTGTTACACAGACCTCACAGCATGTGCTGTCTATACTTGGGTACAGCCTGCTCCCCTCTTCACTTGTGCCTCCGTGCTGGCTGGCTGGGTTGGGACTCTTGCAACTCTGTTGGCATTGCCACAAAGCTGGGCATGGAAGTGTGCCTTGCAGAAAACATAGCTTTGGCTTTTATTTTCTTAAATATCCAGGGATATTTAGTTTAGAAACAGAGCAGATGTCTCTGAATATGAAGACATGACACTAACTGTATGAACAATCAGTATTACCTACCTGTTGTTTGTAGAGTGTCATTTGCACAATTGATGCCTGCTCTGGCAAACTTCTGACCACAAGAAGAGGGGGGGCGTGGGTTGTAAAAGATGCTCTTCACCAGATTCCAACTCCATGAAGGTTTGATGACTGATGTGAAAGTTAGGTCTGAGTAAAGTGTAAGGGGATGGGCTGGAGGCTTGGAAGGCGTTGCCTGTTTTTAGCCTCAGCTCATCTGTGTGAGGAGACTGGTGCTGCACAGTGCCAGCGTCTCCAAGAATGATGGTGGAGGGTCCCGTGTGCACGTCTACACGTTAATAGAGCACTGCGTAAAATCATTCTGCATTGTGGCTGATGAGCTGTCAGATTCCCTCTGCTGCTTCTCACTGTCAGGCACGTGGGCACATAATTTGCCAAATCCTAAATATGAAGAACTGTTCCTTTCTTTTGCTGTCCCTCCTACCCTTAGTGACCTGAACTCATGAGAGTGCATGAGACAGTGGTTACTGCACATCCTGCTGTTTGTTATCCTGAACACTACTGGCACAGAGAGTTGGAGAACTGAGTGTAGGATTGCTGACCTGGTGGAGTAAGGTGGCAGTTACATGAGTTACCTCATTTGTCTTTTATTCCCCTGTGCATAGGATCAAACCAACATGTTGTACTAGAAGCCTGAATTTATCTGAGACTTTCTTAATCTGGTATGAATTGGATCTGTTGATCATCTTGGGCTGTGGCAGTCGAGGGCTGTTTGTGCAGACAGAAACTTAGGCTTTTAAAAATGAGAAGAATGCCAGGTTTGAATTAAGTATTACTTGTATTAAGTAAAGTCCTCATTGGAAACCTGAAATACAGGAATGCTTTAGTGGCTTTTATGTCCTATACTCCTGTCTGGTCAAGTAACAAAGGAAGAACTAGAGAATTTATTCTAGTACGCTGGTGTTTTAAAGTCTACAATTTTTGTTTGTTTGGTGTTAATTTTTAAGTCTGGTTTCAGGCCTAAAGCAGTGTTAGCTTTTCCTTTGGGAAAGTTCTTTCATTCCCCTTACTTTGTGGGGAATGAGGAGGCTCTTTGTTGTTGCAGTAGAGTGAAAAAATATATGCTTTTGCTTTGTGAATTATCCTGGGCTCCTCTGAGTTTAAGAAATAGACAATCCAAACTGCACTGTGCTTCATCAACCCTTGGTGCTACAAATCCAAAAACTTCTTTAAATATGAGCTGGGATGAGTGAGTTCTGTGGTACAAGATTGTTGTTTGGGTTTCTTTTATTATTTCTTTTGTCAGGTTTCTCATATATGGGGGAGGGGAAAGCCTGAAGTTCTGCTCCACTGTCTTCTGAAAGCCGTATCACATAGGCAGGCACAAAACTAATTCTCAGCTCTGATTCTTACCATCCTTCAACCTTTTCCACACGTCAAAAACATTGTTTCTAAAGTGATTTATTGAAGTTACTTCTTGGTAGCTATAGCAAGTCAAGAAAAACAGGTGTGTGGATGTGAAGTATAGATATATTGCCCTTGAGGTTATACGCTTCTAATTAAGAACAAATGGTCACTGTACAACCTCAATACAAAGTAAATCAAATAAAGGATCCATCACAGGTGCTTAAGCACCTACCTGCATCATGCTAGCAATTCAACACTAACAATCCTATCAGACAATCATTTCCAAAGACATCTTAGCTTGGATTCCAGAGAAGGTGGTCTGATCCCTTCTATATACGGCAGGATCGTGGTCGGATCCCTCTGAGTGACCTGTGTTGCTGGCAATACACTGTTGGTGAATGCGCATTGTCTCTGCTTGCCCTTGCAGCCATGGTGTAGCAACACAACTGGCTAACTGCCAGTCAGTATTTTAAGTGAGTTTGTAAAGACACAAGAGAAATAGTCTGTTCATTTATGAAGTTTTAGTAACTTCACATTTCCTTTCTTCCTGTGCTCATTTTTTTTTTTTTTTCTTGCACTGTTTAAACAGAACTGAAGTTTTGGAACATTGCATAGGTTTGAATATTGTGCATATTTGTATGTCTATATAAAATATTTATGTGAGAAGGTATATTGTATGTTTCTATTAAAAACTGGTTGCCAGAAGGAATCATGTCATCTCTTTAGAGTTTCTTTAAAAAAACCCCAAACCAATCAAACCCATGAGGGATGGGATGGAAAGAGGCTTAAGAAAGCAAAAGATTCCCAAGAGAACAGGACTGTTGGATGAGTCCAGAGCCCATACAAGGCAATGCATATTCTCTTTTTCTGTGAGGTATAATGTACACAGGCTGTGCTAGTACGACCTAAATCAGCTTTATTTAAATGGAAAAAACACATAGCAATGGGGAATCTTGTCTTTTTCACAGCTTCCTCTGCCTGCTGTGTGTAAAGACTGATGGGAACTGAATCTCCATATTAGCTTGTGGAACACCCGCCTTTAGGACAGAGGTGTTTTGAGCACTCTGAGAGGTTCTTTTTAACCTCCTGCCAATCAGGCCTTTGCTATTTGGGCAGTCCGACCTCAGCAGGGGGCCAGGAGCTGTGCCTGGGACACAATCCTCTGCTGCAAGCCATAGCGCAAGGTGATGCTGGATCGCTGGGATCGCCTCTCGCTGCCGCAGTACGGTCCTGGGATTCAGCAGCAGGCAGGTTGTGCTAAGCAAAACATTGATGTTGATACAGAGTTGCACATCTTCCAGTCGTGAAGATCCCAAACCTCTTATCTTTTCAGATAAGAAGTTGCCTAGATGACGCATTCTTAAATGGAGCAATTCTCAGGGAGAGTTATCTGTGTGTAACAGACTTGCCAGGCAGTCCTGGCGTGGAGCCTCGCGCCAGCTGGACCTGAACTGCTTGTGCAGACACCCAATACCAGGTTAGGCTGGTGATAGTGCCTGCTCTTGCATGCAGGGCTCCCCAGAGCTCTCCTGCTGTCTTGGAGGGCCACCTCTGGTGTAGAGGGTGTTTTTACAGCTGCCCCAGCTGTGAGAAGAGATAGCAGACAAAGCTCCCTAACCCTCTCGGGTAGTGGAGGGTGGGAAAGACAGGAAAAGAACAGTTTAGAGGCACTGTCATTGTAATAAAACATTAAATCGTGGTTTTCCCTTTCACCTAAAAAACAGGCAAATGCTTTGCTTGATTTTTAAATTTTTTTTTAATGTATTATCTGCTATGCATAATCACTATCACCAGAATAGAGCAGAAAGTATTCCTCATCTCACACACACATATGGATGTGTGTGCACTTTTGCAAACTCATTGTGGAGCACTTGAATATGCTTATACCTTCTGGCATTGCTTTTGGTTTCGAAGTATCGAGCTGATTTTCCACATTGCACTGTTTCTTAATCTCCAATTTTACCTCTATAAAACGTTTTGAGAGATTTTATCATAATGCATTAAGGAATTTTAGTAAAAATAACACAAAAAACACTAAGAGGTTAAAATGAGACCTCCACAACTTTTGTAACATATGTTAGGCAATTCTAACTTTGTAGAACTAGAAATAGGAAGGGAATAGGTTTGTGGAGTATGTTTTCACAAAACTTGAAGGAAATAATACCAAATCTTCAAAATACAAGCCAAGATGGAATTTACAAGGCAGCAGGGTATTGTGCAGCTTTGCTGGAGGTGAGTCAATCTCCGTGGGTTCCTCTTTATCTTCTGGAGGGTCCAGCTCCAGGGGTGCTACACCATCTCTTGGATGACACCCACTGGCACGTTTGGTGGGGAAGATGCTGCCCAAACACTTTTCTGCCTGAGCCCCTTGCCAGGACGCACCATTCCATCCATTCACCACAGGACCTGTTCTGGTGACAGAGAGCACCTCTGCTGCAGCCCGGGGGCTTTCCCACCGCTGAGGGGCCCCTGTTACAGCCCCCTGCTCAGAGGCTTCTCCTGGCAAGGGCCACTGCTCTCCCCCACAGCCTGGGCTGGCTGTCAGCGAGATGCTCTTTCTGGGGCTTTGTGACCACCCCAGGAACCTGCTCGAGGTTCTCCATGCACCACCCAAAGGCTGGTAGTAACTCCGTGATGCTTCTCTGCACTTGCCAGCTCCAAGTCTCCTTGGCGGTGTGGCAGGACTGGTGCCCGAGGGCCCCTTTCTGTGGGTTTGCTCCCACATACTGTTTTGCTTGCTAGAGAGTGAGGCTGCTCCTTGTGCCCAGGGACTGCCCTCAGCCTTCCCTCGCGCAGTCTGGGCCCCATTCTGGTGACCCTACGCAGGGCTTGCTCCAGGATGTCACTGCCTTGCTGGTATTGACTGAAGAGTCAAAACCAGCCCAAACAGGAAAGGCCCTGGCTATGGCCCTGTGCCCCTCAGTTGCTGAATAACTTTGTTCTCCATGTGTGCTGTTCCCCACAACTGTAGGCTAGCATTTCACCGATTGCTGCCGGTGACCGACAGTAGTTTGCACAAAAGAAGTAGGAACATCTCCGTCCTTCACATTCAGGCTGCTTATGTTTAGTATCAGCTTCAATATCTTTGCAGTCAGATGAGGTGACTAAACTGTAAGAAGTTTTTCTCAGATAAGGAATATTTTGAATCTAATCCAACTTTTAAAAAGCAATGTCTGCCACACTCTGCATATAATTGTGTAACAAAGTTCAGTGTGAATAGCGATGAGACATGTGGTCTAAAACACATGGTAAGATAGATACACTTATACCTGAGAGACATGTCCATTAGTAGCAGAATTTATTCTAAAGTGTCTCACCACACAGTTAAAAAATAAAGAAAACTTTCAGGTTGATTGAGAAAATAATTAGCAATACTTTACTGTGAAGCTTTAGCATGATTCTTTCAAGCCCACTCATGGGCTGTGGAGCTCATGGTCTACCAGAAAGGGTCCAAAATGTAACAAGAAGAAATAAATATTAGAGATTGCAGAGGAGTCTGGAATGCTTACCAGCAGCACTCCTTTGATAACACCGTATTTACTGCAATATTCGTTACTGAACTTCCAATTATTATGTTCAAATACACTGTTAATACAAGTGTTTTTTGATTACACAGGAGAGCTCTCCAGCTAAATCCATCGCACACACCACGGTAACATCACCACCTCCCCTCTTCCCCCCAAGCTAATATTCACATCGTGCTCCCGTTAGGAGATACATGTTGTATATGGTCAGTTCTCACTATCCACTGTGCACTTACCAAAGTGCAACAAAATTCTATGATCTGTTAGGTACCTGTGTAATAGTTCACATTCCTGCTGAGAGGTCATGTCACTGAGTTTCATTTTACCTGCCTTTGTCACCACCATGTGGCAAATGTGTGAATTATTCTCTTAAAGAATATTCTAAAACTGATTTGGTAATCTTGCTAAGATCATCTAACAAGCATACAGAAAAAAAAGAACAGTGTGAGAGCCAGCTCCTGACTTGCAGGCTGAAGTTCTGTGGGAATGATGGAAAGTGTCTGACAGCGACTGCTCACCAAAACAGGACAAAGTCTCATTTTACAAGAAGCGACGAACATACCTGAGATGGTGATGTAACCTGCTACTTAAATAATCTCCTCCAGAGCAACTCTGTGCAGCCATTGCAAAGGGGCTGTCAGGAGGTTCAATGCCAAATCACACTGCTATAGTTATATTAGGTTAAAATAGATGAGAGGGAACTAAAAGAGCACTGTTATTAGAAAGACATGAATTATTATTTGCAGAAGGCACAGTCAATAGTGTCTGCACTGTCCAGCAATTTATCCAGATCTGGACAATAGGAAGCGTAACAAAGTAAGTATCACTACTTTTCTTTTTTTCTAAGAAACTCCACTCTCAGGGCTGTGTCTGCTCCCTGAGTAGAACAAAAAGAAGAGGAGAAAAATGATGAAGCATCTTAAAGCTGATCACTTTCTGTTGCTTCTCAAAAGCAAACAGACAAAAAAATCCCCCCGAGGGGGAAATTGCCACGTGAATTCCCACCCCAGAACAGAATGTGTAAGTTCAATGTCAATTTAACCTACTTTTGCTGCCATTTCTCTAAAGGACAGGGACAGCACAAGCTCTCGCTCAGGGACCGAGGCCATGCCAGGCAGTGGCAAGGCCCGTCGCTAGGCTGCCTTAGCAACCAGCGGAGCCCCGCCCACCCCGCGGCTCCCCATTGGCCGGGGAGGCTATATATAGACGTCACTCAGGGGCCGCCTTCCCTTTGGTTCCGCGTGTGCCCGGGCCTCCACACGGCGTTGTCAGCGTGAGTCCGGGCCGCCGGTCCTGGGGGGAGTCTGGGGGGGGGCGGCGGGCGCCCCGCGGCGCTAACGGCGGGTCCCTGCGCCCCCCCCGAGCCCCCGGGCCGCGCCGCGGGGGAGGCCGAGGCGAAGGCCGAGGCTTTGCCGGGTGGCGGGGAGAGGCGGCCGGCGCGGCCAAAATGGCGGCTGGGGCTGCCGGCGGGCGCCTGGGCCCCGTGGGGCGAGGGGAGGTGACGGGGCCGGGTGCTTGTGCCTGCAGGTTCCCTGTCGTCGCTTCCAAAGGGAAACCCCACAATGTCCGGAGGTCTCGATGTCCTGCAGATGAAGGAGGAGGATGTCCTCAAGTTCCTCGCTGCCGGGACCCACCTGGGGGGCACCAACCTTGACTTCCAGATGGAGCAGTATATCTATAAGAGGAAAAGCGATGGTAAAGCCGCAGGGTGGCTGGCCCTGGGTGGGGAGCTGGGATTTTGTGGGCACAGCTGAGGAAAGCAGGAGAGTGAGCTTTCTAGCGGTTTCTCCATGGCCTGAAAAGTGCAACTGCCTTTGCTGGTTGAATCAGAGAAGTAGAATGAAAGATGGGTTTCAGAGCTTGGTAAATGAGTTACAGCTGGACTTGGGGGCACTTCTGCTAGTTCTTGAATACAGTAACAAAATGGTTTTAATGCCTCAGTAGTGATTTCTGTTCTTTAGTTCTGTTTGCATTATTCTTCAGTCTGAGCTGCACCCTGTCAAAAGATAGAAGTTCATACCAGGCCCTGGTTCATGTTAACTGGTGCTGGAAGTGTGCTACATTAAAGCCACATGGGAGGATTTTCCTTGGAATAGCTTTCCACTACCTAGAAATTTGGAGTAACCACAGCCGTGTGACAAGTTTAATGGCAGAGGAGTGCTACCCTGTTTTAGGCTCTTGTATT